AAAAAAAAAAGAATTCAGAATATTCATGGTGGCAAAACTAAATGAGATGCAAGAGAAAAGAGACAACAAACTCCCGAAGATGCAGGAGAGAAGACACAATGAGCTCCAGGAGATGAGGAGGTTCTTCCACTTCCACGATTTGAAAGAAGAAATACACACACACACACAGAAGAATTGTTAGAGATGAAGGCTATAATATAGGAATTTAAAATCTCCCTTGAAAGTATTAAAAGCAATTTAGATCATGCAGAAGATTGAATCTTGGATGTAGAAGACAAAATCTCTGACCTAGGGGAAAGAAAAAGAACATCAAAAAGACTGAGAAAATAATTCCAAAAATTGAGAATAAAATACAAGAAATACTAGATACCATTAAATGTCTAAATAGCCAAATAATTGGTATGCCAGAGGGAGAAGAATCTAATAAGGACATTGATAATCATTCCATGAAATTCTGGAAGAAAACTTTCCAAACCTAGAGAAACATTCGAACATCCAGACTCAAGAAATACAAAGGGCCCCAAATAGAATCAACCCAACAAGATCTTCTCCACAACATATCATAGACAGACTGACCAAAACCACAGATAAAGAGAAGGTACTAAAATTGGTGAAGCATTGTTATCTACAAAGGTTACCCCATCAGGCTAACTTCAGACCTTTAACTGGAAACAACACAAGCAAGGAAAGAGAGGGTTAATATATTTAAAGTGTTAAATGAAAAACAATTTCAACCAGAGTACTATACTTGACAAGATTATTCTTCAAATGGAAAGGAAAGATAAAAACATTCTCAGATAAACAAAACCTGAAAGAATTTACTAATACCAAAACAGCTCTTCGAGAAGTTTGAAAGGGAGTGCTATACCAGGAGAACTAAAGACAGAAGACAGAAACAAGTGAAGAGGGAAACAATAAAAAGGTCAGCTTAATTGTAGGAACAATAATAAGTCCAGAAAAATCAATAATAACATTGAATGTCAATGGATTAAATTCTTTAGTCAAGAGACATAGACTGACTGAATGGATTAAAAAAAAAAAAAAAAAAAACCCTCTATCTGCTGCCTGCAAGAAACACACCTCATGGATAAAGACACACATAGACTAAAAGTAAAGGGCTGGACAAAGGGATTCCATGCAACTAGAAATCAAATGAGGGTTGGCGTTGAGATACTAATCTCAGACAAAATAGACTTTAAGACAAAAACTGTAAGAAAGACATAAGAACATATAGTAGTAAAAGGGCTAATTCATCAAGAAAATATAATGCTTATAAATATCTATGCACCTAACTCAGGAGCTTCCAAATACATAAAGGAAAGACTGCTAGATCTAAAAGGAGAGAGAGTATTCAGCACACCAATTGTTGGGAATAACCCCAAGAATAGACAAGTGGGATTACTTCAAATTAAGAAGTTTTTGCACAGCAAAGGTACAGTAATTAGTATGAATTGACAAGCCTCAGAATGGAAGAATATTTTTGTAAACTATGCCTGTGTCTCCACTTAACATATACCAACTATTCACAGTGTATGGTGAAAACTGAAAGACTAGAGGATATAGAAGCATGGAAAATGGTTAGGGATACTGAAGACAGTGTGGGATGAGGGTAGGAGAAGGGGAGGGGAGAGTATGAGGAAAGAAATTAAGGAGAAAAATGGAGAGGCGAGACATTTATGGGACACTGAAATGATTATCTGTTGATGATAACACGTATACTATCCTGAACTTGACTATTGTGAAGTGTGTTCATGTTCAGTAAATTCACTTTACAAGCTAAGTGATATATACTTGTTGAATGTATAAAACAAATTAAAATAATTTATGATAAAATAAAATTAAAGTAAAAAATTTATTTTGGTACAATTTTCATTTGAAACAATGCATAGTATTTTCTTAAAATAATTTTCCATGAACTTTTTAAAGACCCCTTATATCTTCTTTGGCTTTATTACTTGCCTCTTGTCTCTTAATCAATCCTGTTTATTCAGTCCATGGAGTTAGCCATAGTAGGCTATTTGAACTTATACAACATTTACTTTGTAGGCATGGAGTTCTCTTTGTAATAAATATGAACAAACCCTTGGCTACCAACCACGTGTATCAGCCTGTCTTTGCAGTGTCACTCAAATGCCATCAATATAACACAACAATCTTATGAGCTAATGAAGTATGTAGAGTTAGAGACAATTCACTGTGGTTTTTCACTTTTCATCCATATTATTTTAATGTACTGTAACTCTATTAATACATGAACACACGCAAGTTCTTATTTGGTAATAATGAGGTTCTTTAGTATAGTGCGTTTGAAATTTCAGTGTGCAAAGTAACCACCTGAAGGGTTTGTTAAAAAGAACATCTTGGTTCAGTAGATTTTGAGTTTGTCTAAGTTACTATGTTTTTAACAAGCCCCCAGGTGATGGTTATGCTGGTGATTTAAGAATCACCCTTAGCAAATCATGCAGATTTGCTTTGGAACTGAAAAGTTTGATTTGAAAGACAAAACATAGAAAAAATCAAAGGATATGTGTGTGTGTGTGTGTGTGTGTAAGAGAGAGAGAGAGAAAGAGAGAGAGAGAGAGAGAGCAGAGGATGGGGTGGGAGGGTGGAAGAGGGAGAGGAATAAAGAGTGGACAGTTCGATGCAAAAATTTTAACTTGAAAATAAACCTTAATAATACTTGTGCGAAGAACATGACTAATGAAAATGTTCTTTCTCAAATAAAGTAGAAAACCATTGTTTCAGGAGATTCAGAGTTGGGTCCTTTCATTCCTCCAGGAACTATGTTCTACATATCAGGAACATGTGAAAATCATCATGTTGACCATAAAGTCATCTTCCCCATTGTCACTTTTGCATTATTTTATTGTGGTGGGGGGATAGAGCACATGTGTGTGCCAGAGAGAAACAGAAAGAGAGGCATGATTAGAAAGCAACCCCAGAGGACCAGCAATTAGTATAATGGTTATGTCGCTGGACTCCCATATATTCAACCGCGGTTCGAGTCCCGGACCCGGTGGCTTAAATTCACACCAGGCTCGTGTGCGTGCGTGCCCAAGATCCCGAGAGGAGAATGGAAGAGAAGGGATTGCGGCATGGCCATCCCCCCTGGGGGGTGATTTCTCGCTTTCTGTCTCTCTGTCTATCTCTGTCTGCCTGGTGAGTGCACGCACTCAATAGCAAAAAAAAAAAAAAAAAGAAAGCAACTCTGGGAGAATGGCCATGCTGCTATCCTTTCTTCATGCTTTTTGGGATTTGGGGCACACACTCATGTGCTGGCATGTCTTCCAAGCCATTGAATGGAGAACTCAAACCTGGAATTTGGCCATGTGGGATTCAGCCATCCCAACTACCATACCACTGGCTGGATCTGTTTTTATATATTTTTATTTTATTTTATTAAGTATGTCAGGAAAAAACTTAAAATGTAGATTATCTTTTAAAATGTTGTACATGGTAGCTTTCTTTGTACAATAGTCTGTAAAAGATGGGTTGAAAATCAAATAAAAAACAGGCTTAAAAATACCTGGGAGAATATCCTGCTTATATTAAAGGTCCAAAAGCAATGCTTACATCTGTTAATTTTTTTTTTTATTATTGTTAGGTACTATCTAGTCATGGGCTGATTATTCTTAGGAAACTAAAATTGATGTGGTTGGTTGAAAGAGCTTGATGCAGTAAGAAAGCATAAGAAGAGACTGAAGAGCGTGGTGCTGTGGTAAAACAGGACCTCTGTAGGTTGGTCCACCTGGGAAGGCTCTGGGTTTGTGTCCAGAGTTCTCTCTGAGTGTGCTACAGACATCCATGATTCAGGGCTGGCCGATGCAGAGGGTGAATCCTGGTGTCAAGAGGTGCTTATCTCTGCTGGAGGTCTCTCTGTCTCTGTATCTCTCACACATGGAAAAAGTAAACTAATAAACAAGGAAAGAAAAAGTTAAAATTGTTTCCATAGTATGCAATATTTTGAGGCCATATTAGGAAGAAAGTTGGATTACTAGTCATTCATAAGAATCAAGACAATAAAGTTCTCTTTTATACCTTTTTTTTCCCTATTTTCAAAATCTTTGGTCATTTGTAACATACTTACACTTGAAATATATAGCTTAGGAAAACTGTATTCCACTTTGATGGAATATTACTGAACTCTTAACAAATAATTCCTTTTCTCTAATATTAGCTTATTTTCACATTCATTCATTAGCAATGATTTATTAAGATCTACTATGTGTCAGAAATGTCCCAGACATTAAATACATAGAGGTAAAGAAAATAGATAGGGCTCATCAATCACTAATCACACACTTTATTCAGAAAGTAGAAGGCAAGAAATGAACATAAAATACACCCGTAATTGAAAATGATAAGTATAATGAAGAATAAAGAATAAACTTGAAATAAAATTAAAAAGGAGGATTGTAATATGAGCTAGAGTTTAGGTAACCTATGATGAAATTAAGCTGAAACTTGAAAAATTAAATAGAAATTAGTTAAATAAAATTAGAATTAAAAGCATTTTAACAATAGGTCTCTGATGTGAAAACTCACAGGAAACATAAAGTTTTGTTAAATTCAACAGATTTTCAGAAGACTAATGTGCTTGGAGCTTACTGATGATAGTAAAGAGAAAGGTCCCATCCATGTTCATAGAATATGTACTCTGTTTATTTAAGTATATCCTTAGAAAAGTAAGAGTTTATATCTAAGGAACCAGCAGATTGTGAAGTGAATACATTGCTGGACTCCCACATGGCCAACCATGGTTCGAATCCCGGACCCAGTGGTTTAAAATTCACACTGGGAGCATGTGCATGTGCGTTTGCCCAAGATTCCAGGAGGAGGAGAAGGGATTGGATTTATCACTTTCTCTCTCACTGTGTCTTTCTCTCTCTGTCCAAAGAATGCATGCATCTGAAGGCAAAACCTCTACCAAAAAAAAAAAAAAAGAGTTTATATTTAAGAAAAAGAACTTTAATACCCAATTGACCAATTGACCTTTTGGAAAGATGGTTTCCACCTCTGTAGATAATCAATTAGACATCAGCAAAAGTAGACATTTCATATTTCATCAATTAAATTCTGGTGACATACTAAAATGACTAGTTTAGAATTCTTTTGTTCAGAAGTTTTTTTTTTTTGCTTTTATTAGAAATGGCATCATAAAACATCTATTTTTTATTCTTCTTAATTGAGAAGAGGACTTGAGGCAATGTATTTTTCTGCTTCTGGTCTTATGTTCACTTTCAGTATTCAGACTGTTAATCAAGTCTTATGATAAGAACAAAAAATGTGTAGATAATTCTTTTTGTCAAATATTAGGTTTTTTCAAATTCACTTCAACTTTCTTAACAGTGACATCTTACACTATATGTTCATCACATATGACTGCTGTGTCTAACTGTGACACAATTTTGCTACAAGTCTCACTCTTATTTGCCTAGTTTTCACACAGTACACGATAGGGTTCATCAGGGGAGGTACAAGTAAGAGAACATTTGCCATAAGAACATTAACAAGGGGAGAGACATGCCTGGCAAAGCGATGGACAACAGCCAAGTTGATGATGGGCAGATAGAAGATGACCACTGCACAGATGTGTGAGACACAAGTATTGAGGGCCTTGAGCTGCTCCTTTTGTGATGCAATTCCCAGCACAGTCTTGAGGATCAAAACATAAGACACAGCAATGAGCATAAAGTCTACCATAAGACAGACTGCCCCAAAAAAGCCATAGATGACATCAATTCTGTTGTCAGAGCAGGCCAACTTCATGACATCCTGGTGCAGACAGTAGGAATGTGACAACTGACTTTTCTTGCAGTATCTCAAGCTTTTTAAAGTGAAGGGGAAGGGAAGAACCAGGAGGATGCTCTTAAAAGAGAATATTATTCCTATTTGGGAAACCCTGACAGTTGTAAGGATGGAGCTGTATCTCAGAGGATTGTGGATGGCCAGGAAGCGATCAAATGACATGATTAGAAGAACTGAGGACTCCAGAACTGTGAAACCATGGATGAAGAATTCTTGGGCAAAGCAGGCATCAGCAGAAATTGCAGGAGCATCGAATAAGAAGACCCTCAACATGGTGGGCAGAGAGGATAAAGACAAACCCAAGTCAGACAGGGACAACATGGAAAGGAAATAGTACATGGGCTCGTGCAAGGAGGGCTCTGTCTTGATGATAAAAAGGATGGTGCAGTTTCCCAAAACAGCTATAAGATACACGCTGCAGATGGGGATAGAGATCCAAATGTGTGCATATTCTAGCCCTGGCATCCCAACCAAAAAAAAGGTGGTAATTTCAACGTGTGATGTGTTGAGAATGGACATAATGCATTCAGAGAGTTCTGTAATAAAACATACAGATTCTTGTGTTGGTAAAATATCAATACCTAGAAATTTAGTAGAAAAAAAAACAGTATTGAAATTTGTGATTTCTTTCAGCTCTTTTTTTAATTAGCAATAATCGCGTCTCGGATAAACCTCATTGGCTACGATACTGCCACTGAGCAAAGCTCTTTCAGCTCTTTTTTGACAGAATAGAACATTTATGTGACTCTCACATGGAAAGAAGTGTATATCAAAATATGCTTATATAATACATTTAGAAAATAATTTCTCGCCATGTTTTCCCTATAGAGAAACTATATTTAAATTTCCTATTCAAATATGCATATGATTTCATTTTCCCTATAAAATATGAATAAATCCTAGTCAATAAAACAGAAGTCCTCTAATATTTCTTACTTTAAAATCCAGATAAGATGGAGTGGAATATATGATCTAGAGTGAGACTGCTGTGGGGAAGAAATATAGCAAGGAAATGCCTTCCTAAATTTGTTAATTCCCTCAAATGTATGATATTCTTGAATCCAAATTGCCCTAAGTTTTATTCCTTGCCACCTGAAAATAGCTGATTATTTAAACATTCTTTTAAAAGTCTTATTATTTTGGGGGTACCAGCCCTGTAGCTCAGTGGTTAAGGTAGCTGGTTTTCACACAGTTCAAATCCCAGCCTTGGTGGCTTACAAAACACACCAGGCACATGTATGTGCTTGCCCCAAATCACAACAGGGTGGAGAAATGGAGAAGGGATTGTGGTATGATCACACCTCGTTGAAGGGATGCTTCCCCTCTTGTCTCTCTCTGGTGAGCACACACTCTCTAACAATAATAATAAAAAAAGTCCTATTATTTTCAAACCTATATTTGATATATTTGATAGGGAAGTCACTGCAGAGATCACTGACAGGTTATATCTCATTGTCTCCTGGTCTGGAATTTGTGAACCTGGCCTGGAATTCATGAGTGCTCACTAGAGAATAATAACCTGAAGGGCAATTTAAATCCTGCTGAGTGCTGAGCTCCTAAAAGATAGTCTATTTATAATGTTGGAAAGGAACATTCTGCCTTGGTATGACTTTTGGGAGCATCTTCCTACTCTGTCTGAGGTTCTGTGTGGCTGATTGCCAATAAGAGAAGTAAAGCGAAAGTCAGGTAGATGAGGATATCTGAGTACTTACCAGAAAGTGGATATTTTTATGAATCTTTTGGGGATAAGTAGAAGAATCCCCATGTAAAGAACATCATTGAATTTGTAACCACTGAAAGCTCCTCCTAATATACAAGCACATATCATCTCTTCTCCTCCTATCACCTGCTTTGGGATCACTATGTTCTCTGGAGATTGCAGCCAGTCTGAATCTATTTGAAGAATAAAGACAAACATTTACAGAGGCACTAAATCCACAGAGATAGTTGATATCCAGTAGTGAAATAAGCATCTTGACAGTGAATAAAACACTGTTTGGGGCCAGAGAGAGGTTCTTAATAAATGGCTTTTAGATATACACAATAAATTCTGTGAAAATGCTATGGCACTTTTGTTGGAAGGTTGGCTTATATGCTACTCCTCTAACCAAGACAGAATCTAAGTAGAGATGCCTTGAGTTGGGTGTGCATTCGGGAAGTGTTGCAGGACAAATACTGTAGGGCATATATTTTCTATTTATTTTCTTTCTTTTAAAGTATGATTTCTGGGTTACATATATTCAGATATATCTTGGTGTGGCACAGTATAGATTTTTAAAACATGTATACACTATATAATAATTGAATCAAAGATTTGCATATAATTCTTCTTCAACATTGAATATTACGTTGTGCACATTTGATAATAGTTCCATTATTTATTTTTTGAAATATATATTATGTTATTTGCATTTACCTTTTCTTCCTTCCATTCTTCCTTCCTTTCTTTTTATTTCTTTTTCTTTCTTCCATGAGTGAGAGAGACAAAGAAAAAGGCAACCCCATCAGAATCCTCACACCATGACCCACCTTTAGCCTCAGTCAGCCCCAGATCACGGGCAAGTATGTGCTCAGTATATTCAGGGAGGTCTCTGGATGAGATC